CTGCTCTGAGACACCCACTGAATAGTGCTTCACCTTCACTTTATTCCTCATTTCACGGCATTAAATACATTCAGAGGGCAGAGAAAGTGAGGGTGGGAGAGTAGGACTGTGAGTGCAACCCCAGATCAGACAGAGAACCCAAACAGCCCTGAGCATGGAGCTCACAGGGCAGGTTTAGCTTTCCCAGGATCAGATCGAGTAGCAAAGGGTGTCTTCTGATTTATGTCGTGTTTGGGGGGGCTTCCTTTAGGATCCAAACAACCAACCAGCCCTCCTGCAGCACCAGAGGGTCCAGCAGGCACCAGCTCAGCACCTACCCAGCAAAACCTCCCAGCAGATCTCACATCTGATTGTAAGTTTGGACTCTTCTACGTGAATTTACCAAACCAGGGTGGGAGTGCTGCAAGAACAGTTACATCTCGTGCCACAAAGAGCTGTGGAGCATTAAACACAGCATTTATTGCCTGCTTTCTCAGTTTCCAGCCATGCAAGCAGCCAAAGTATCTCTTAGATCCAGGCTGGGATCCTCTGGGTGGGTTGCACTAGATGGCACTGTGCAACAACACAAATCCGTGCCTGTACCAGGCTGCGATTACTGAGTTGTTTCCAGCAGAATCGAGAGCTCCACTGCCCAAATTAGTTGGCTAAGGGTTTTTGTGCCCTCTTAGCATTGGAGGCCCTGCAATGAAAAGTCACTTGCTGCTTTAGAAATGCAGGAGCTCTTTGTTTGTTTTTGTTTAAAAGCGCTACATTGGTGATTACAAACGTCCTGATAAACAATTCATGCACGTGTTGATAAACACACATGGAAGGGGAGCTTGAACCTTTTAAGAGGGGGTTGGAACTCGATGGTCTTTAAGGTCCTTTCCAACCCCAAACCATCCTGTGACTGTGTGCCTTTCACAAGGTGTGCTCCCATACCTGAGAGGGAGCAAAATGCAAAGTTTTGGTACATCATCATCATCATTTCAGCTTTACAAATCAAAGTGAACTACACAAGGATTTATTGTCTGCGTCCAAAAGAAAGTCAGAACTCGTCTCTCTGTCCGTGCAGGGCTTGAAGGATCATCAGCTTCGTCAGGAGATGAAGAATTGGGAGGTCCATCAGGTTATGGTGACCTCAATGGTATGATTTACATCATCAGACACCGGGGGTGGTGGCAAAGGACAGGGATTGTCACGCTGGGACTGCACCACTGGGGGCTGGGAAGACACTAAAGGAGTAGTCAGGGTTATGAACACCAAAATACTTTCTTCAAGGAGAAGGATACACCCTCATTCCTGGTTTTTCCAGCAGAGGAAGCAAACTGATGGACAGGGAAAGCCCCCAAATGACCAAAGATTCAAAGCTCAGCTTTGTTTTAATTCGGCTGTAAATGGGAACCATTGAGTTCCAAAATGTGTAAGGGACTCTGAGGATTTTCTGTTCCCAGAGTTTCAGATTTACCCAAAATCCAGCACTAGGGGACTGAGCACAGAGCTCTAAGCCAGGGGAAGTCCCAGGTGCTTCAAAGCTGCTGGGAAAACATGAATTTCTTAAGCATCCCTTTGGCCTTCAGAGAAATATTGTTCTCCTTTCCTTTCCTTTCCTTCAGGGACTGAGACAGCACCCAAAGGAGATGTCACAACAGAGGAACTCCCCAGGACAGAAGCCCCACTGCCACGTGAAAATGCAACTGTGATTTCCATCTTCACTGTTGGTAGGGACTCCTTAATGAGCTTCCAAACACAAAATGGGAATTCTGACACTCTCTGACCACACTTCCCCCTCCAAACCCTTTTGTCAGTGCACCAAGGTAGTGCTGGCTTGTAATTCTGGGGGGAGACCACAGAAACACAGCCATTTGTATCATCTAGGAAATAAAAAAAGCGAAATTTTGCTGTTTGTTGTGCCAGAGCACAAGTCCACTGATTTCTATCAGCTTTTCTTATTCATATTATTAAAAAATTGACCTCATGTCCCAAAATGAAGTCAAATAAGGTGAATTCTGCTCTTCTGTCATGTTCATCTGGCCTAGTTCAGGTTATTGTGTTAATTAGCAGAGGCTCACAGAACATTTAACGACACAAACACCCCTCTGCCTCTGTTACAGAGCAAGATCCCAAATCCAAAGGCATCATAAAGAAGGAGAAGAACCTCTTGCTGCCAATCCTGGTGGCTGCCCTGATTTTCGTGCTGCTCATCATTGTCCTTCTTTTCATGATGAAGCTGAAGAAAGCTCATGGAGTGTGGAAGAGAGGTGGGTGATTTCCCTGGAACGCTGACCATGGAATTGCTGTGTCAGGCCTGTCCCTGAGCTGGTCAGGCTGATTGAACCCCCATTTCATAACTAGTCCCTCAGGATTTTCCTGCTCAAGGCAGAGGGTGAGAAGGAGCGGTGGGGAAAAAACCCTCATCATCTTAATTACATTTGTTTTCTGTGCAGAAAATGATGTTTCAGAGCAGACACTGGAGAGTTATAAATCCAGATCTAATGAGGACAGTCCAGGCCACGAGAAGAATGGACAAGGTAAAAAGCTTTAACCAGCGTAAACTAATTCCTGTTGGGGCATTGCTGCAGATAATGATAAATAATAAATAATAAATAAATAAATAAATAAATAATAATTAAGAATAATAACAAATAATGTATGTTTGTGTTTCAGTTGCCAATCACAAGCCCAACCTGCAATATGTAACTGAGGGATATGGGGAAACCACCCCCAAGAATCCAAGTGACAAAACCACTGCAATAAGTGAGAAAATGTTTGCATGTGGAAAGGAAACAGATGTGTAGCGATGGGAAACCTGTACCATGGGCAGAAACACCCCTTTTTCCTCATGTCAAACATCTCGGGTGTCATGATTTTAAGGAGCAGGAGCAGCAGCAGCAGCTGCTCTCCATCCTAAAGCCAACTGGGACTGCTTTTATTAAACAGCAGGACAGGTAGATGGGACTGGTGCTCCTGGAAACCTGTCAGCAATTCGCTGGTTCACCTGTAATCCTCAGAGGATTTCATTATCCACTGCCAGAAACTGAGCTCATCAATCCCATCCCAGATCCCACCAGCAATGGGGGTCCTCTGGAGATATTCTGTCCTGTGCAAGGATAACATTTCTCACCTGTGCAAGGATAACATCCCTCCCTGCTCTGCACAACATCACCACTTACAGTCTCCCACATCACCCTAAACTTCCAGGGGTGTTGCAGAGAAGATGGATGTCCTTTAAGATCCCTTCCAACCCAACCCACTCTGTGATTTGATGATTCTAAGAAGGTGAAGGGGATGCAGGATGTTACACACGGGACCCCTCCAAAGCCAGGAATGAAGTCGCTTCCCCGCCAGCAGGCAAGGTGGGAGCTTTACACCCGCAGAGCTCTGCCACAGCATCGCCTTTTCTGTCGCGGAAGGGTAAAATCAAACCCCTAAAATAAAAGGGCACGTACGCGGCAACAAGAAAGCGCTGTTTTGGTCGTGCAAATTTGTTATCTCTCGCTAGAAAAAAATCAGGCGGAGTGGGTTGGAATATCGAATGAGAGAAAGATGCCGGGAGGGAGTGGAAATAATCCCATTTTTTAGGGTGGAAAAGCGGCTCCTCCCGGGCGCTACCACAGCCCTGGGGCGGGGGGGGGGAAGGACGCGCTCCCCCCGCTCCCCCCTGCACTTGGTACGTGCCGGCCGCGTCCTCCGCGTTCCCATGGCAACGGCGGGGAACGGCCGGGAATGGGACCGGGAATGAGCTGGGAACGGAGAGGGTGAGAGGGGATGGGAGACGTGGGAGAGGGGATGGGAGACGTGGGAGAGGGGATGGGAGACGTGGGAGAGGGAGATGGGACCGGAATGAGCGGGACAAGGGAGTGGGGACAGGGAGAGGGGACGGGAACCGGGGACAGGGGACAGGGAGAAGGGAGCGGAATGAACGGGACAGGGGACATGGGATTAGGGGCGGGGGATGGGGACAAGGGAAGGGGAAGAACTGGGACAAGGACAGGGGCTGAGGGGCTGGGGACAAGGGATCAAGAGAGGAGAGAGGGGACGGATGTGGGACGGGGGACTGGGTGAAGGGACGTGGGAAAAAGATGGGGACAGGGGATGTGGGAAATGGGATGGGGGTGAGGGGACCAGGGACAGGGGACTGGGAGAGGGCTGGGAACAGGGGAGTGGGATGAGGGGCCATGGGATGAAGAACTGGGAGAGGGGAAAGGGGCAGGGGACATGGGAGAGGGGATGGACATATGGGAGAGGGAACTGGGAGAGGGGACCAGTGTGAAGGGACCAGCAAAATGGGACAGGAACAGTGGAGATGGGATTGGGAAAGGGAACCAGGGTGAGGGGACAGGGGATGGGGACATGGGACTGGGGACACCTTGGGGAACACACGCCTGGCCTGGCTTTTCTCCAGGGGCTGAGGAGCTGCTTCGGCCCCAGAGGGGCTCATGGAGAGGCAATTCCCAGTGAGATTCCATTTTCCTTGCCCGCCCCAGGCTCTGCCCTACTGCGGGTGACCAGTGATGGAGCCTTTTTCCTCCCTCCCAGACCCTTTACCTTAATGACTTATGAACGCTTCAATCAAATGTAAAGAAAGTCTCATCCTAATTTACAATATTCCAGTTCTTTCCACTGTGTTGTTCCCTGCCACACTTCCTTGCTGATTTTGCATGTCAAGATGGTGTCAAGTTGAATAAAGAGAACATACAGAATTTATTGTAACTCTCAAAAGTTAAAAGATGACGTCTCGTTGCTGTGTCTCAGCTTCATTTTCCTCTTCAAAAGATGTTTATGCATTATTTATGACCACCAATAGCTTAAGATTTCATAGCAGTTGCTGCGTAGGGACCTTGCTATTAACTGCTTAGAGAAACATGAGTGTGACAGATGAGAATAAAGAATTGTTGAACAGTAAAAGGTCAAGTCCTGAGCCTTAGCTTTTAATAAAAATAATCATTATTATAAGGTCAACAACCTTGTTGTTTGCTCTGTTTTCCAAACACAGGGCTGGCGTAAATAAACCATCGGTGCAAACCACGGCATGAAACCTTCGGCTCTGAAGCACATCACAGTTTTTTCTCCCCACACTCACACTCTGAACAAAATCCACGTGCCTCCCAAAGTCCTCGTGCCACCCGTTTTCCACCCTCCCAAATGGAGAAGGGCCCTGGCCAGGGAAGGGGGATCTGCCTGCAGCCTGCAGGACTGCCAGGACTCGGACTCTGAGAGCCTCCCTGAGGAGGGGCAGGACCAGCTGGGGCTCCAGCAGAGGATCCTGGAGAAAGAAGAGCTGCTGGGACTGTGTTCTGATGAGCTGGACAATGACAGCCTGGAGGAGGACAGCCTGGAGGAGGTGAGCTCGGGAGAAGACCCCAGTCCAAACGGAACACAGAAGGATCGAGGGTAAGGCCTGGATTTCAGTAGATGAGCAGAGCAGTTCTGACACTTTTAAACCCTTATGTTCCTCAGAATATACATGGCATTTCAAGACCAATTTATGTTGCCCAAGTGCTATTAAATCACCTACAGACATAGTTTTAGAGGACCTACAGACATAGTTACACACCAAGATGTACAATTTCATCTTACATTCATAATTACTATGTCCATTTCTCAGCATATCCTCAACTTTTATGATGTTGGCTGAAACACAGAATGACCTATGACCAGTCCAGAGGGGTAAGATGGAGAAGAAAACATCCCTCACAAACCTGTAGGGCAAGTTAAATATGAGTCAGAGTTGCCCAGCAACCAGGAGGGACATCCATGTCCGGAGGGCATCACCAGGGATTGGACTTCATGATCTCAGAGGTCTCTTCCAACCCAGTTAATTCTATGATTCTGTGATCTTTGTTATCCCTTCCAACCCAAGATATTCCATAGTTCTATGATTTTCCAGTCACTGCTTGCAGGGAGAACTTGGAGAGCAAGACAAGAGAGAAAAAAACAAGACTCAGTACTGGGTGATCCTCTTCTCATTCTTTACAAAAAGTGCTGAACAAACCAGGCCACTTCTGTCTGAAAACTTATAGGCAAAATTTAATGGCTTGAATAAATGCAGTTTTGTCCTCATGGCTGTGTGAATCTAAAAATTTCCAGCGTTACTGTCACCTTTAAACATCCTTCAGAAAGCGTTAACTTGGTACATGAAATAAAATTTAATTTGCTGCCGTGTGCATAAAAGGTTTAACCCTCTATGAATTGGGAATAATTCTCAAGTTTAGAGGGATTAAATTAAACCTGAAGTAATAATAATGTGCAGTTTCAATTTAATTGTCTACTTAAAATAAAATGACAAACAAATGAAGGCTAAATGATTAATAGCATGCTTTTATTCACCTCCTCAACAAGCAAAATGGCCAGTTATTGAATATTTTATTGTGAGTGCAAATGATGTTAATTGTACTAGAAACATGCTCTAATTTTTAGTAATTTTTTTGACTGAATACTGCGCTGAATGTGAGGCTCTTCATTAAATGGAAATTTGATTTTATTTTGTTTGAACTTAGCCCAGTAAGTACTCCAGCCCAGTCCATTAACCAGAGCAAATATCACAGCACATACACACGAGCCCCCCTCTCTACATCCATTACCAACCCCGGAATTTGAAGGGGAAGTGCTGCATCTGTTGTCTGTGCACCACACTTTTGTTGAGGAGCAGAGCCCATCTAACCTTCCTCTCAAGTTGGGCTGGGGTGGGGGGTGAGGGGGGAGGAATAAAAGGTGCCCTTTTTGTCTGGGGGATGATTAGGGCTGAAGGGGCTCTTCACACTCATTCTGTCCCCGTGCACTGACCGGGGCTGCAGCCCCCAATTGAGCCCACGTTTCAGCACAAAGGGGCTCTTTAGCATTATACTCTGAATCCTTGCAATTATATCACATATTTCTGTACTCATTTCTGTTTCTGTTTACCTGCAGTGCGTGGCAGCGAGAAATAATCATGTTTTTCCCCCATTTAAATCACCTCCTCTCCACGGCAAGGCACACCAGTGGTTACCTGAAACGAAAATGAAACGTTATTTTTTTGTTGTTGGGAGCCACTTGAAATACAGGCAAAGGCATGTCACTCAGTTAGAAACGAGAATAAATGGTTTATGGAAACGTTAATGGGATTAACTGGGGCCACACTTTGGAGAATCCAGCACATCAGGACAGTTCTTTTAATAGGGGCTGAAGAGTCCACCACGTTTCAATACCTATAAATGTCACTGAAAGAATCATCATGCCCAAGAAACCAGGGCTGTGCTGCAGGTCCAGTGAAGAAAAAACAGTCTTAAAAGCTTTTTCCTCCCACATTTCTTACTCCTGCTACGTCCTCCACATCTCCTGGAAGCCAGTTTTTATATGTTTGGCTCCTGCCACTGGTTTTCCTCCTGTTGGATCAGATCATAAATCATAAATTGAACCAATTGTGGATTTTTTTTAAAGCAGAGCATCTGTGTTTGCTTTATGACAAATGTAACGCAGAGCAATGATTTGGCCACTTTTTATTAAAAAATAGGCAAACCCATAACCCTTTCTTATTCATGTTTTTCTACACTTATCTCTTAGTTTAAAGTTATTTCAAGTCTTTCATTGCATATGAAATAATGTCTAATTTGTGCAGTTTGTGCAGAACAATTGTGTGTTTGTTTCTTAAACAGGAAAAAACAGTCTGTGGACAAATATTCCAGCCTAAGGTACAGTCCTAAGTGGAAGAACACAAGAAAGGCAGGAAAAGCGTCTCAAGCTGGAGGAAGCAGTGTGGACTTTTCACAGGAGTCATTTTACCTCCACTCCAGTGGCTCCTCAGAAGAAAAGAGCCAAGAGGAGGCAGAAGCACAGGATTCATTCTCAGAGTTCAGTTCAGAATTTTTAAGCTTTCATGACCCAAATGTCCTGGTCAGCAATGAGCCCCTTGGGCTACAGGCCAAAAAGAAGGAATCTGCAGATGGTTGTCAGTCCAGAGATCGACCACAAAGAGCAAAAAAAAACTTTGTGAAGAAAAATAAACAGACCTTAGGATTGCCCTCAGAGAGGATAAATTCCTATCTGGAGTTGCACAATAAAAAGCAACAAGTTCTTCAAGAGCAGGTGGGTGATTCTGACATATTTTTATAAACTGAGGACTGTCTAGTGTAATTACAGCTCCTGATGAACCATTATACACGAGTTTGTTGCTTTTCCTTGCTACTTATTATGCATAATAGGAAGCTAGGAGTCACTGGATCGCTCCAGGAGTTGTGGGATAGAAAATTCTAAGCTTGGAAAAACCACAGGGACTTTGTGCTTGGAGTGAAAGTGCTGCTTCCCAGGGCTAATGAACAGTTGACACAACATTAGAGGGCGTGTGGTGACTGCATTCCTCTGACAGGAGCAGTGGACAGGCTTTCTCCTAGCAGGGCTATTAAGAGCACTTGGTTTTTTCCAGTTATAATTTGGCTGATGGCAAAAATAATTAGTGCAGATTGCTGCTAATTAAAGCTGTGTTGATATGATTATGTTTGCTCCCCCGGGGAATTCTGAAAATCTTTCATATCTGAGTGTTGGAGCCAGGGATCAGGACTCCATTGTGTAGGCACTGTTCAAAGACATGTAATAGGGAAAAAAAACCACTTAAAATCAGGGCTGTGATATAAGAATTCCTTGCTGAAGGGGCCATGGGGACAGCAGAGCTGTGATGTGTGCCACGTGTGTTTCTTCCCTCAAAAACTTGATACATCAGGGGTTGTGGACTCCCCATCCCTGGAAGTGTTCAAGGCCAGGCTGGGCAGGGCTTGGAGCAACCTGGGCTAGTGGAAGGTGTCCCTGCTCAAGGCAGGAGGGCTGAACCAGATGATCCTTGGGGTCCCCTCCAAGCCAATTCTGTAATTCTGTGATTCTGTGAACAGCATCACCACCTGTGTATTCACTGCACAGGAAGAAGCCCTTACCTGTCCTGTTCTTAATCCATTGCTCCATCTTGCTGGAAGGGGTGAAGAAAGGCCTGAAGGAAGCATCTTGTTGGCTCACGAGCCAACTTTGGTCACCTCACCTGGAAAACTTTACCAAAAAGTGCCTAAACACCAAGGATGTGAAGAAGCAAACAAGTCACATCCTCTGCTGAAGCAGCCAAACTGTTGTTTCCTAAACAGGATTAATCTGAGCTTTGCAGGGGGTTGAAGCTGTTTTTATTGATAGGATATTTTTGTTCATATGACACTGATGATGTGGTAATGAAACAGTGAAGTCAGTACTTTGCAGTTAAAATATTGGAGTTAAAATATTTGCAGGATTTACTCCTGTTCTCTCTGTGTATCCAGGCTGCATGTACCAAAACATACCATAAACGTGTGCTGATCTGTATATTTACTAATTTATACAGCATTTTATAAAGCATCAAGTTCTTTGCAGCGTTGCCTGATTCTTAAAGAACCCGATGATGAGTTTCTTTGAGAGAGAGAGAGAGAGAGGAGGGGGGAAAGAGAGAGAAGTAGTGGCCCAATCTAGCTCAGCTGTACTCAATCTGAGTTGCTTTCCTACCTCCAAGCCCCTTACTTCAAAGCCAGGAACATAATGTACAATTTTTTAATGGCTCTAGACCAAGGCACTCAGACTCTGTGTGCACTGTGCCTTACCTCAGTGTAAACACCTAATCAAGATTGCCTGTGCTTCAACAATAGCAGCCAAATGCAATTCGAGAACCACAAGCCTTTGAAGTCCTCACTGCAAAGGCTGGTTTTCTAGTCTGGGATAATGACATGCCATGATTGCTGTCTTTGTTGTATCTTTTCAGTAGAGAAGCAATTACGGGCCTCAATTTAACAGAATAGGCATTACACAGCTTATGATTCTCAAAATGCAATTTCATTTGATCATTTTCTCAATTTGATTGGTATTAATAGAATGGTTCACATGAAAAAAATAAAAAAATAAAAAAATAAATAAAGAAAAATGCTGGCAGAGGTTGTGTCCTGTTCCTCTTTCAAAGAGATAATGTAGAAGTATGTTTTACCTGCCCAGGAAACCATCAGTGCAGCGAGTCAGTTGGTTCCACCAAAACCATCCTGCTGACTGCAGAGCTGGCTCCTTCCACAGGTCAGGAAACCTGCCTTGCCAACCTTTAATTTGCTTTGTAGTTTCTGCACTTCCATTTGGAGCCAGGGGGTCACCCCCCAAAAAAATTCAGCAGGAAACTCTTTTCTTCCTTGTCCTGAACTCTTATCCCACAGAGAGGCTCAGCTTCCAGGGAGGATTCCACGCTTTCTTCCCACTGATTTCACCAGTCTGATTTTGAATTCACAATCCTCTTGGTCACAGGGACGTTCTCAGTGCAAGTTCTGTGGGAGGGTGGGGCAGGTACAGAGTCACCTGTCGTGGTGACACTGCCCCACTCGTCAAGGTCACTCGGCAGGGTAGTTTGGGACAACAAAAATATAAGTGAAAATTTTTTCTAAAAAAATTGTTTTCCTGTGATGTAATAGATTGGGGTGGGAAAAAATGATGCTTTCAAGGAAAATGTTCATTATTGCTGTATTTACCAGGGCAAAAAAAAATCCTTCAAATCAGGTTTGCAGCCATCCTGCTCCCCCAGCTGTGGCCACGGGAAGACGTTCTTGTCTGTGAGCTTATTTTGCCAGGTGACATGGACTGGGTGCTTTATTCCTGCAGCTTTCCCTGCCCTTTTCTCCCAGCATTACTGTGTTTTTTGCCATCTCTTTCTGCAACACTTTCTCAGGCCCTGGCAGTGGGTGGGGTGTGTCATCCATCAGGGTCTGATTGCTTGGCCGGGGATGGTTTCTGGTTGTTTTTCTGTCATTAGGTGCATCCACTCCTCGAAATGGAGCAGCCCAGATATTTGAGGCTCACAAGGAGGTTTCTGTGCTGCAAACTTCCTGCAATTTTCTTTTCCTCTCTCTCTCCCCCTTAAAAGTAGAAGCAACACTCCCTGATACCACACAGTTGTTAATCGGGTTTTTTTGCTTCCTTTTCTCTTTTAACCATTTATTTTCTTGTTGCCTGTTATATCATGCCTAACTTCAGCATTTTAGTTTTAATAGGAGGCAAATTATTGCTCATTCTCTCCCTGAGACTTTTAAATCCTTTCATTTCTTTGGGCTGTTGCCATAAACGTTCTTGGTTTTCAGGTTACAGATCCTAAAGCAGTTGAAGAGGAAGAACCACCACCCCAGACTGTGAAAAAGAAGCCTGAAGACAACCTGAAAGGGCAGCAGCTCAAGGTGCCTTTTGGATAGAATTTAATAATTGAAATATATATGTAAAATCATTGAAGTTTGGATATTTAAAGCTGTCATCTTGTTACTTTTAAAGTACTGATGGCTGACAATAAATCCTTGAATATTTATCAATAGATGGTCACCACAATTTAGTGCATGTGCCTTATGGAATGAATATTTTTAAAGCAAAAGGGATCCCAAATGCCAGAGAATTCTGAGCTTAAAGAATCTTGCCTATTTATGACATTATTTCGTGGATTTATGACATTATTGAGTTGATAACAATGCAAAATCACAATGGTACAAGTTCATGTTTGATGGTTTATGAGGATTCTGAGCTAGGACTCAATTACTGCTGCCTTATTTGTCCCCTAAAATCCCTGTGAAAACCAGACGTCACCATAAACCAGAGAAGAAGTTGGACTCACCTCCTCTGTACACATCAATCTGATGGCTTTAAACCAACGCAATGTGAGTCTTTGGAGCAGTAAAGAGACCAGGTTATGATCACTGATGAAAAAGCAGGAACTCCAGAACCAGCCCACTGGGATAATTTCTGGCAAAGCTGGTTCTTCTCAAGCGTTTTAGGCAGTGCAGGCGCTGTTTCAATTCCCAGCTGCAAAGCCCACACAGGATTTTACCCTGCTGTTCACCAGGAGAGACTTGCCTTATATCTGGAATTTCAAGGTGAAAAAGGGGCTGTTTAAACGGGAAAACTTTGGCTGCACCTCCCTCTTTCCACCAGTGGCCCCGATGTACCAGGATTGTCAGAGCAGAGGGTCGAGCTAACAGGTGATCCTGTTGGTTCCAGTGCTAAAGCTTTCCTTTTCCAAACCCCCCCGGGTCCATATGTGGATTTAATTCCTGCCGTTAAGCAGTTGTTCTGAGTGCATGTGCCACTGTGCTGATTGCAAGCGTTGCTGACAAAAGAACCCCGGAGAGACGGGAGGATGAAATGGAGGATTTTAGAGCTGACAAGAGATTAAACGGGCTGAGGGTGGATTTGTGTGTTCCCGGGTCTTCCCTCAAAGTGGGCAACACCTGACGCTGTCATTGCAAAGGGATAAATCTTAAATAAACTCCAGGTTTAGAGGAGGGCAGTTTAGCTCACAACAGCATTCCTGGTGTGATTAAACTCCTGAACTGTCTCTTATCACCTGGGTTATGTTTTGCAGGATACCAGGCAGGGAGGAGGTTTAGAAATAAAGTCATTCCTTTAACTGGCATCAGTTTGTTCCTACTGTGGATCAGTCTAATGGCACAAAACCATCTTCCCCTGAAATCTGGAACAGTTTACTTTCATTAGAGAATAAAATCCAGGAGCTGATTTGGTTTTTGGAAGAGTTTCTCCAGATGGTTGACAGTCCCCAGGGTTTAGGAACAGGCACTCCTGTGCATTTAAGGGCTCCTGTTGAACACCTAAACTGAAGCTCACTCTGCCTTTGATGATTTGTTTCAGGATCAGCACAACAAGTTCTCCCAGAGGGATAAAGCAAAACCCGTTGGGAATCTCAATGGAAAAGATTTTCCAGGGAATGGCAGCCAAAAACCACAAGGAAGAGCAGCAGAACCCAAGCCTTGGCACCGCAGTGCCCAGCAAATACCAGGATTTCAGGCTGCTCCCAGCCCAGTGGAGCAGGACAAGAGCACTGCCCTGCAGGAATCTCTGCATCCAAACCCTTCTGCTGGCCCTGACACGGATCCAGCGGCAAAACCCAGCCCTTGCTTAAGTAATTCCCCAAATTCAAGATGTTTTCAAGAACTGAAGGATCAAATCCCTCTTCAGGACTGCAAAAAACACACCCATGAGGATGAAAGGTACCAGAATTATGACATCAGTGGTTTATGGTAAGGGCATAAATGTTGAAACAGTGTTATTATAACACTATGATGCCCCAAAAAAATATAGAAATGGACCATAAAATGCTTTAAAGCCCAAAGTATAAAGTTATTTTGCTACCAGCCTGCCACTGTAGATTACTATTAGTTTAAGATTCACTGTAGCTATTGATTTTTAAATATGGCATTGGCAGAGGACAGTTCCAGGTATAGAACTTCCCAGGGCTGGAAGTTTCCAGAAGGAAAAGATTAAAATACTGGTAGGAAAGAGAACTGTGCATCAACCAAAACTGGCCTTCCAGGTGGATATCCAGAGTGAATCCAGTGCCAGTTCTGCCTCCCTGCACTTGGGAAAGGGCATGAAAATCCTTAGTTATGTAGGATTTCTCTCAGTGCTCAGCGGGCCTGACCCAAAGCCATTTAAAAACAGCTTTAGATAACTTTGCATCAGGCTGAAAATCTCCCCATCTGTATTTTTTCCCTTTTATTTTGTGCAGTTTCCATACACTTGGGTGCAAGGGAAGTCAGTCATTGTGAGATACCCATTTTTCCATCTTCATGCTCCCAGTATATTCTATTTGCAGGTTGCTTGTTGAGCCCTCTGCTGTATATAAAAAATATATTTATATAAAAAATAAAAATACATACAATAAAATATAAAAAGAAATTGCTAATCTAGACAAATAATAATCTAAAATAAAATATATAATGATTGTAAAATTAAAAGACATCTTTATTTTATAGAAAAAAAAAAATTTATATAAATATATATCTCGCTTTTTAAGGCCTTCTCAACCTCCTGTTCACAGGTCACCACCAGCCCCTTGTGCAACCTCCAGGTTTACCCAGCTGATGGAGCAGCATCCCCCAGGAATCCCTGCTTTGGCAGGGGCTCACTTTGCTGACAGGTGGCTGCTCAGCCTCCTCCCACCTGCAATCCCACGGCTACCAAGTGGCTCCGAGGGGGATCCAGAGGGAGATGGAGGAAATCCACTGACAACGAGGAGGAGCAACTCAGAGGCACATCTCATGCAAATGAGAAAGGAAACCCTGCCTAAAGTCAACAAGAAGGTAAGAAAACAGATGTGGATTGGATGGTTTAACATCTGATTAATTTTTTTTTCCAAAGTTCTTTAGGGGAAAACAAAAAAAAAGTGGGTGTGCAGAGGAGGTGAGTCCAGCTTCTTCTGCTTGTAACATTTTCGGGTTTATGGGAACTCCTTGATGTTCTCAGGGATTTTAGGGAACAAATAAGGCAGCAGTAGTTGAGTTCTACCCCAGAATCCTCCTAAACCATCACATATTTCATTGTTACAGATTGTTTGGATCTGCCAGCAGGCAGCCTGGCCTCCCATCTGAGCACACCATTACCCTGGGCAGGCTCACTTGATATCCAACCCAAATCTCCTGGTTTCCAAGGGATTCCCAGGGAACAGCACCAAACTTGGGGGATTTGTAAAGCTAACGGCATAAACACGATTCCAAACCTCCTGATGATCCCATTTGGGTCTTTTTGTCTCTTGTGTGTGTCCAGTTTCACAGTGGAACCAGTTAACACAGAGACAGTGGAACAGCATAAAGGGATCCCTGCGTGTCCATGACAAATTAAACGTTTAAGAAGTTTGCTCCAAGTCTCAGGGCAGACAAACTTAAGCTGGAATAATTATTCCTGCATTTCATCTGTGTGTTGCTGCTTGGATGCCTCTAAGAAGAATTAGCAGGATTATGATAGTAACTGAAGGGCAGATTTCCTTCCCTTTCTGTTCCCCTGAGCTCCAACCATTGTTTATATCCTGTATTTTCGGTGGCTTTCTCACGCTTCATATGTGAGGAATGCCCAGAGAATAAGAGTGTTTGTGTCTCACAGGAAAATCCAGCTTTTCCTAATAAACAAATGCAGTTCTGCTCATCATGTGAAGTGAGAAAACCCTGATTTTGCTGCAGACAGCTAAAGGATTTACTCCTCACAGCAGCTAAAATTAAAAGTTAGCAATTTATGCCATGGGGTAGATGACACAAAAAAAAACCCTCAAACAGAAAGTTCAGTGCATAGAATTAGTTTCTCTGCAGTTGAGTTTAACCTGAACACGTGTTTTAAATAAATGCATATTTTACTTGCATATGGAAGAAATGCCTTGGTGCTTCTGCTTTACTCTGTGATTGAAATTACTGCAGAGCTGATCACAAGGACGAGCTTTTAAAACATAGTTCACTTCCCAAAATTACCCTGGTACTCTTGAAAGGGCACTTTTTATTAGAGTTATTTATCAAGGTTTTTATTAGAAAAGGACTTTGTATTAAAGGATCTTCTTATTAAAATATTCTGGAAGCACTGGGGTCCTTGGATAAAGAAGGATTGAAGTGGCATCACCCATCACTCCTCTCTTCCTATGCACTTGTGAAGCTTTTGCTGTGCTCAAGGCATGGATTTTTCAACTGCCTGTGGACAATTTTCCACTGCAGTTTTGAGAACAAAGAAAGGTTACTATTACTATCAACGCTGGCCTAGTTTTTTTACCACCAAAATCAGGTACTCTTTATCTGCTTCTCTCACAACACCTCCTTTGGAGTCTCTAATAACAGTCAAAGGGGTCACTTTAAGCTTTTTTAAAAAATAAAGCTGCCAAGAGGTCAGTTTTGACTGAGAAAATGCTGCTTTGTGATTTGGATAATTGGCAATTTCCCACCAAGATTCAAAGGAAATAAATACAGTGTCCTCTGCCTCGAGCAATTAACTCAGTCTCGTTGGTCACTTATTTAAAATGACACCAGGCTAAGACTGAGACGCCATTTGAGCCCTGCTCTGCTCCTGCTTTAATTGTTCTCTCTATCAAACCATATATAGGGGAATCTGTCGCTGCTGTTTGTTTTTTTTTTCAGCCACGTGGCCCCAAAGTCTGCATAAACCTGAACGTGAAGCTCGGGGGCCTCGGACCTGACTACGAAGCCATCAAAGAGAAAGTGAGTAAATCCTCTGCCACCTGCTCTGCTTTGCAGCTGTGCAAAGTGAATTTACAGGCAGAGAAACCGCTGCTGAGAAGCCACTTGGGGTTGTTTGGTGCTTCATGCCCCTTGGTTTTAGGTCTGCCTTGAGATCCTGAAGGGGGAAATTCAAATAGAAGGGAAGACGATTGTACTGGGGGTAATTTTATCCCTCTGATTTTGTGGTTCCAGAAGCAGGGACTTGAGCTGCACTGTCATTCCCAGTGCAGGAGGTCTGCCCAGCCTTCGAAGTGGAAGCAAAACAAGTTGTGGAAACACAAGAAAGCGGCTGGATGCACGTGACTCTGCTGAAATGGAGGCAGATTGTTCCCAACATTCAGATGTGCCTGTCACGTTTCTGCTGAGCTCTGCCCTCAGCCCAAGGAAAAGCTCTTAAAAATGAAAAGCCACTAAAAAAAAAAAATAAAATAAAAAAAGGCTGTGCCATTTATCAGGGTTTCCTGTTGTGTTCTGCTGAGGGAGGGGGGATCAATGGCATGGCCAGGTTAAACAGCAGCAGAGGTGTAAATGGAAGACTTGGTGGGGAAAAGTGTTTCATTGATGAGTCCACTGAGACATTCAATGACACACCTTTCTTTTCCTTTTTTTGTTTTTTTTTGTTTTTTTGTTTTCAGAAGCAGAAATTAAAACTGCAAAAGGAATATTCAAGGCAGATTAAGGAATACAACATGAAAAATATTACTTCAGTTCAGAAGTTACCTGCCAAACCTCAGGTCACACCTTCAGTGTCGAGACAGAAGGTAAGAGCAGATTCCATCTAAAATGCACGCAGGGAGAGATTCTGGGCTTTGCACAAAGGGAAGGGAATCAGTTTAACTCAGAGCAGGCTAAAATAGTTTCTCCACTCTGATTTTCCTTTTTCCATGAATCACAGATTTCCTCCTGTTAATTATTACCCACCTGCCCCTCAGACTCTCTCACAAACGTGCCCATCAGTTCCACAGCTCCAGTAATTGCTCTTGTTTTTCCAGCCCACACAACGTCATTTTAGCCTCCACTGGCCTCCCAAAACAACCCAAATGAGCAATGAGGGCCTCCATGGCATTGCACCCACACACACCAACCAAGGGAGCACCTTTTCCTTACTGCAGGAATTAACAGAGCTCTGGAAATGCCATGTCTGACCCATCAGTTCTGCAGGAGCTCACCTGCCTAGTGGGGTATTTCTCCAAGGGGACAAAGGGAGACCTGAAGGCTTCAGGAATGAAGAGGGGGTGGTTTAATGGGACAAAGCTGAATTTTCTGGGTGTCCAAAGGGCTTTGGATTCCCTCAGAAGGCTTCCCACACGCTCTTTCACCAAGAGCATGAGACGATGCAGCTTCCACTTGAGGCACAGAGAGGTGTTTTCCCAACTCTTGCAGCAAACACAGACACCAAAAAACATCCCAAGTTAAAACAGGGCTCTCTCAGATCCAAGATTTCTACAGTCCCGTTGATTTGACTCAACATAAACCCACTTAAGTATTCTTGGAAACAGTGGTCAGGTTTTCTCCCCATCAGTTACCCCAGTTTTGCTGTTTTTAGGCACTGGAATATGCTAAGAAGATTCCAAGGCCAAAGACTTTCATGACAAGACCATCAGACAAAGAGGGGAAAGAGGAAGTTGTGCCCCAGAGTTCAGATGGAAGCAGTTTCCCCCAAATCCCATCCCTGGAGACGCTGCGAAGCAGACACGAGAAGGAGAAGGAGGTTGTGGCTGCTTTCAAAGCCCTTCATATCTTATAAGGGATATATCTGAAAATATCTGGGATATCTTCAAATCAGAAGTGCCTGAACTACTTGATTATGAGCTCTGACCATCCATCACATATTGATTTACCAGCCCATTGAAATATGAAGTGGCTCAAGTTTAATCATTGTTACATTTTGGGCTCAGTTCTACCACAGCTTTTTTTTTTTTTTTTTTTTTTTTAATAAAATAAACCTTTGCATATGTAGCATTTTAAATATGGTCTTCTCTGTTATATTTCTTAAAAATAACTGATCTAGCAGTTGCATCTTTCAGACTAATCAGCTGTTGGCTTGTCACAGCTGGATCATTTTTGGATAAGTCAAACACATGGACACATCTACAACACATTTAGAAATGAACTTCTGTCTCATATGATGATCTTAATACCATCAATATTTCTCTTTTTGAAGTGCAGAGGAGATTTTGGCAGACTGTCCAGAAATGAAGCCAAAAATAAGCCATTGCTGGTAAGGAAAAAAAACAGAAATATGCACCAAACACAGCAGTTGGTAATAATGCAACACTAATTATTCAAATATTACTCTGGTATTTATTAGGGAATAATTGTCACATTAAGACCAAAATTTTGAAGCTTCATCTGGGACAAGAAAATTCCAACCAAGTCCTGGCTGAGCAGGCAGACAATCTGTTATTAGCCAGGAGCAGTTGGAAAATGTATTAGGTAACTAAGGATAATTGAGAGCTACATGTTGGAGAGGAAACAGCTTTTAACAGATTAAGTCTATAAAAATAACAACAAACAGATGGGTTTCTTATGATGGTTCTATCCCTTTAACTTAGTAAATGATGAATTAAGTCAACATGTGAAATGTGATTAGAACGCCCAGCAAGGGAATTTTTGACTAAAATCTCCAAGCAAACAGGCTGGTTACAAGGCAAACAAATAACCAACCGCCTTGTGATTGGGTGTAATTGCTTTGTCCAATTTATTAGGTCCCTTTTTGTCTCTTTTTGAAGGGGGCTTGGCAGCTGGAAGTTTATGGTATACGTGACAACTGGGGGAAAGCTTGGTGGGAGAATCACCTTCCACTGTGGGGAGGATGCTTTGGAAGGATCACCTTCCAAAATGGGTGAGGCCGCAGGGGGGATGTTTGGCATCCCCTTCCCTGTGGAAGGTGGCCAAATCCACCCATCCTGGCTGAAAAAATGGTCCTATGCCCTGCCAGTGCTCTTACTTTTCATTTTTAAACCAAATGGTAGCACTTGGAAGCATTTCTGCTTAGGGAACCTGAACTTGTTGTTTCTGCTTAAAAGTGATAATCCCCCCTTAATACAAACCTCAAGTGCCTATTTTAATGAAACCTTCAGATGAATATCAAAGAGCTATTTACTCGTATCTAATATTTTAATGAGATTATATTCTCAATTTAACCCATTAAACCCCCTTTGATGATCTCCATGTTCAGTGTTTAGCCCCAGATGCTGGAGGTAATGAATATTGGACCTTTGATTTAATGAGAACTTCTGCCTTTCCAGCCTGACTCCCTTTGTATCCCCCTTTTTTTTTTATTTCCCGAGCTATAGAATCCAGTTAATTGAAGAAGTCTCTTATCACCACACATTAAGGAACCTAAATTAGCATCCCTTTTCTGATTAGAAAATGCAAGCAGACATTTTCCCTTTGATCTGAGGATTGAGTTGAAGTAGGCAACAGCCCCCTGAAAATGAGCTGATGGCCTTATTATTTGGCTGCCATGCAGATGCGTCCATGTGGTGCAAAATGCTTAATGTCTTAATTGATCACCTTCCTCCCTATCTGGCATCCCACTACCTTTCAGAGCTCCCATAAATTAGGGGCATCTCCCTGGGTGGGGTGGCTTTTTTGAACAAAACAATGATCTTTTGGGGAGCTTTTCGGTGCTGAAATAAAAGCCCTGTACGCGATGCTGCTCCTGGGGGAGGGGTAGGTTTCTTTGTGAGCACTGATCATCCCCACAAAAATTTGGAGAAGCCTCTTCCTGGTGGTGTTGTTCTGGGGGGTTTTTCTTCCCCATAATTTGCAGCATCTAGGTGGAAAGAAAATCTTCTTGATCTCCCCCGGGAGTAACCCACGTTCTTCCTGCACCCAGCAGATCTGGGGGCACAAAAAGGGGGCCACCCGAGTGCAAGGTGAGCATCCACCTGCTTAAAAGCAAAGGCCAAAACTTTGTGTCTTTCAGGGTGGGAAGACAAGAAATCTTAATGAGAAATAGGCCTTGAATGTGGCATTAAGTGTGGAAGGAGGGGCTGAGCTGGAGCAGAACCTGACTAGCCTAGACTGACTTTATTTTAGTAGAGTAAGGGCAGTGACTTAAGTATCAATTTGAAAGTAAGAAGTGAAGCATTTTTGATAATATAAGTAATGAATTCTCCTTTTGATTTTGATTCAAATTGCTGGGAAAAGGGTTTCACTAAGATAACAAAGGTGCCTCAGTTATCTCTGCAGAAATGTATGTAAATTTGTATATGAAAAATGTCTGTTGGTCCCATGGCCCAGCACGGGGCAGAGAGGCATTTGTGTCCATCATCCCATGGAAATTCCCAATATTTATTTGGCAGGCCCTTTGTAGAGCCACCATTTCTTAATATTTAACTGTTGGGAGCATTGCAGGCCAGAGCACCTTCGGTGGTCAAAGACCTGGAGTCACTTCTACCGCAGTGACATCAGCACCTCACCAAAGGCATGGACAGGCTGCTGACCCCAACAAAAAAACGGTGGGTTTATCAGTTAAAAGCATCAAATTGGGCAGAACCTCAAAGCCACATCACATCTCTGAAGACAGAAGGTAAACCAGACAAGGTTATGTCCAAATCCTGCAGTCATGGAATACTTGAACAAGCTCTGATGTCCAGCAACTCACAAGCCAAGCATTTGGTTGTTACCAGCTCCTAGTAGGGTCAATTCTACAGTAAATTATTCTACACTAAATCATATAGTGGCACAAAAAATATGTCTTTTTATTATTATTTTATTATCCTTATTTCTCTTTTCTCACTTCTGCTCCAAGCAGGCTCAGGGACAAGTATTGCTCCAACTGCACTGATCCTGTGAGGAACTGCATCCACCCCTGGAAGGGTCTCATTCCTTAGAAAGAAGATAAATCCAAGAGAGAAATCAGCCACTTTTTAAGCCCAGTAAGACCATCCAAGCAGGAGTTTGCAGCTGATTGAGGTGATGCTGTTTGTCATTGCCACCAGAACAGAGGAAGAGCAAAGTCAAAGCTTTCATTACTATTCACTTTATAACTGCCCACAGAACCTGCATATCTGATCTGCTTTTATGTAGCTCTGGCCACAGAATGAAAAAATTTGAGTTGTACTTGCTTTCCAGACCCTTAAAATTTTAAAATGTTGAGGGCAGCGGATGGGAAAGTGTTTAAAATCACAACAGCAAAGGTTCATGGAGGGATTTAAAACTGCTTTTTGATTTTCTATAAGGAAAACAACAAAAAAACCCACTTAGATGTTAAAAAAATTAACAGGAAACAATTTCATTTAAAAAAAAAAAAAAGAAAAAGAAGAATCTCATTGAAGAATTTTAATGAAAATCAATCTTCAATGGATTTCTTGAAAAATAGGAAAATCCACCAAGATTTCCCTTTTCCAGCACTTATTTCCTGCAAGCCACTTCCACTCCAACATTTCCCAAATGAAGACATTAAATATTTTTTTTTTTAAAGGAGGAAGAGGCAGCTCTAAACAACCTCTCCCCTGCTCCTCAAGCTTTTGGGGAGAGCAGGAAAAAGTCGGGCCGTTGTCGTGGAATGAGGAAAGATCCAGGAATAAAAATGAATTTCGCTTATTCTGAGAGAAAAAAAAAAAAATCTCTGAAACGAACAAACAAAACACCAAATCCCCCTGTTGCCTGCAAGGCTCAGTGCTCACCGCTGGGATGGGGGACATCCCTGGGGTTGGGAGCTTCCCATCCTGCCTGTGTTTGTCGCTGAGGCTGCCAGAAATCAGCGGCTTCGGTTCTAAATAGGACTGTAGCTTTAAACGTCACCCAAAAAGTGCCTAAAACCGCAGAGAGGAGGAGAGAAGAGAGTGTTTGTGGGGTTTATTTTATTGACCAGCATAAAAACTTCGGGAAGAGAGTTCCTGGGGAGAAACAGCATCAAATTGAGAGGATTTTGAGGCAGTTTCCATCACATCCCTACGGGTGTTGGGAGAAGGGAAGAGCCACGGAGGAGCTGGGAGAAGCATTTTCCAGCCAGAGATGGGAAATGACCTGTTGGACCCTGCTCTTGGCTCCCTGAGCTGCTTCAAAACCACGCCAAGGCTGCAGGAGGAAAGTGGTTTGATTTACCTTCTGAATCGTAATTTTTAGGGTGGCGTTTTGTTGGTGAAAATTATTGTCCTTAAGTATTCATAAACACCACATAAAAGCTTTTTCTGGAGAGCTGGGTTTTTTTCCTCCCCACGATGTGTGATCTTTATTATTTTACATGTAAAAAAAAAAAATTATATATATATATCTTAATTTATATATTAAGAAAAACCCACATAAATGAAGCAAACATACACTTTTAAATCATCTATATTTTATGTATTAAACAGGGACTCGTTTCCCCCTCACAAAACAACACGTCCCGTAATCCAAAATGCCCTGAACGTGCTGATAACGCCAGACAACCAAAATAAATTCCCGATTAAATCAGAAAATGTAAAGAGAATAAATTAAATAGCCCAACGAGACATCGACATGCCACCGGGTTGTTGTGCAGCGGGGGCTGCACAGGTGATTTTTGAGCCAGAACAGCCTCTGCTCTGGGTTTTTGTGGAGGAAATCCCCAGTCCCACCATCTCCTCCCCGGAGATGCGCTGGGAGCGCGGCAGAAGCTCCGGGTTTCCCAACCCGGCAGCACACATAAATAAATGATAAAAATCTTAATTTACCTGGAAATTAACATCATTTCCCCGGCAGGAAGATGAAGGCAAAGCGAGGGCTGCCGGTGGCTGCTCTGTGTGACCGCGGCACGGAGCGCAGAGAGCCGGGGGGAGATGCGGGAGAGGGGGAACAGGAGCCAAACCTGGAGCGGGAGCAGCTCCGGGACTATTTGAGAGGAAAAGGGAATATCCGGGAGCTGATTCCCACCTGGAAGCCGGGAAGGAATCCGGCTGCCAGCGTAGGTGTTTCTCCAAGCTGTAGAAAATCCCTTTTGCCCGCCG